TTTTTTTTTATTGAAAATTTATTGGAAAATTTTTTATTAAATTTTACAATTTCAATTTTAATAAATTTTTACTCCTCTTCATCTTCCCATCACTTCTTTTCGTCTTCCATCACTCCTTTTTACCTCCCATCCTTTTCATCTCTCATCATGTCCTATTTCTCCTTTTTGTTTCCTATCACTTCTCATTACTCTTTTTCATCTTCTATTACTTTCCATTACTCCATTGTTGTTTCATTATTTTTTATTAGCATCTTTCTCCTTGATTATTGTAATTTACTTATCTTTTTTATTTATTGTTATTGTTTTTTTTATTTGTATTTCTTCATTAAAAATAAATACGGTGATTTTTTTCTTTAAAATCGTAAATGTGTGACTTAAATTTTAATATTTGCAAATAAAAATAAAATTTTATTAAGTAAGATTATTTTGAATAAATGTGTTTGCAAAAATTTTTTTTAAAAAATATCTTCGCAATAAAATTTTAAGTTTAACCGATCAAAAGTTAAAAAAATCAGCCATCAGCCGATTTACTATATATTGTACATATTTGGAAAAAAAAACTCTTTGACATGGAGAAAGCGAGTAGTTTTAGACTGCTCAATTTCAATGGGTATATTGAGGTTATTTTACTGCCTATGTTTGTACTAGTGCGCGAAATACTAACATAGGGCTTTTTTTAATCAATAAATATGCATTTGTCATTGTAAAAAAAAAAAAACAGTTACAGCAAAATATCTCACAACTTTTTCTTCTACTATATTCAATAATTAATGGTTGAACAATAAAAAAATTAATTTTATAGAATTACCGTACCACGTGCAGTTGATTTTTTCACTTTACATAAACATTAATTTATTTATTTTTTATTTTATTTTATTACTAGAAGAGTAGTACTCCAAAACTATTACAAATAAAAGAAAGACAACATTTACATGTTCTACAACTAATATACTTGTATAGAATTTTGGACGTTAATCCCCTACGGGACCTCACCCTTCGGACTATCTATTCAAAAAGCTAGGACTACGCTAACCTTTCAAATGGGAAAAAGAAAAACAAAAGTGAAACCCACCCATCCGAAAGATAAAGAGACCTATAAAATTAAATGTAAATAAAATTTGTCCTAACTAAAATTGTACGAAGGGTTTATATATTATAATAAAATAAATTTCGATCATATGTAATTGAATCTATAATATCTAGATATAAAGAATTTATCCACGGGAGATTATGTCGAAAATTTGAACTAGTGAGATAGATCCAAAGGACTGTATCATCCAGATTACGTCTGGAGGTCATAAATGGGTTCGTATATCCTATGTTGAGTATATTATCATTAACTGGATTATTAGGCGATATCTCATTAAAATTTTGACGTTGTTGGTCTTTTTGTCGATTAACTCTATTGGTGAATAAAGATTTTGTAATGTTGTGATCAATTTTGTATTGTTTCCATTTCGCATTACGTTTTGTCCACAATATCTCGTAAATATCACGATGAAGGTTAAATAGGAACGTTAATAATAATTTTTTTGTAAGTTTCTTTGAGATTTTTGCATCTTGAAATGGTTTGATGAGTGATGATGGGACCATATTGATTAATATACAGTGGAGATCTTTTGCGTCACTAATAGTTTCAATTGGTAAATTAAAACAAGAGAATACCGGAGAATTAAGATTAATGTTGTTGGAATCGTCAATGATCTTACGATCTAGATTATTGATGATTAAAGCTTTATAAATCAATTCATGTTTCTTAAAAATATCCTTCAAAATTTTAATGGATTCTGGACATGTCCAGAAATGTTCGTTTGTTTCTTGAGCTGTTGAACATAGAAAGCATATATCAAATCCTTTAAGGATATCCGGATAATTTCTGTTGAGAGAGTCAAGTGTTGGTAACGCATAATTAGAGCATTTAATATGCCAACTAACATGTTTACTATAAGATTGTGAAGTAGCTTTCGAAAACGGGTTATAATTGAACCAATCTTGTGTATATTCCCAATTAATTAATTTGGCAAAAGTGAAATCTTTGATATGATGTAGAGATCTATGAGAAATCTGTCGTTCTGTATTTCTAAAATTAATAATTTTTTTTGTTGTTTTTCGGATATTTCGATCGATTATTAATTCATCATTGAACATGATATATCCTTTAACGGTTTTGACAGTTATTGGTGAAATAGAAATAATGTCTTGTTTGTCACATCCAGATTTAGCTAGAGCATCAGCCATGTCATTATATTTGTCACCTGAATGCGCCTGTACTTTAATTAATTTGATCGTGAGGTTGAGTCTTTTAATAATATAAAGAATAGTTTGCCATAATAAATTGTTATTAATTTTTTGAAAACGTCTTGGAGTCATCTTATAGTGATGTAAAGAATTGAACGTATCGATTGCACATTGACTATCAGTATATATAGTCACGTGACTATTAGAAGGACAGATGATTAAACATGTGAGAATAGCAAAAATTTCGGCTTTTGTTGAGCTCGCCCAATCGGCTGTTTTACCACTATATTTTACGTCAAGATTGATGTCACTTGTCAAAATCCAACCAAAACCCATGATGGATGAATCATTATATCTAGATAAGGAGCCATCAGTGTAAAATTCTAATCTATTTAAAGAGGACGTTAAATTTACTAAAGAAAAAAAAGAAGAATGAATTGAACTAGGTAACAAAATATTATTAATTAAATTAAAATTTTCTTTTAAAATAGTAGAATGAAATGTTGTGCAATTAATATTATTGTTAGGTCTCAAATGAGGGTGTGTACGATTATTATAATCGATAAACGCATCAGCACGTAATTCACTGTGATTTGTGAACTAAAAAAATATTATTAAATCTATTATTATTTTTCCTATGTAGATTTGCATGAATTGTAATTGAATTATTAGAAGGATAACTAATTATACATCTAGGACGAGTATCACCAATATAAAAGGAATCATGTAAATCACATCCTGGACAGGGTGTTAATAAATTGGGTTGTGTATGTGGTGTTAAGGAAGGGTTATATGATAAAGGATCTTTGAATGGTATATGGTGTTAGTAGTATGAAAACCCCAATTCTGGCTCACTCCCACCATATAATCTAAAATACTACCACTTTATATAATCTAATTACCACCATCATATAACTTAATTACCATCATATAATCCACCTACCACTTTTACTATAATTTAACTACCACTTTATATAATCTAGTTACAACCATCATATAATTTTAATTACCACCATATAATCCACCTACCACTTTTCATATAATCTAGTTACCATCATATAGTTTTATTACCACCATACAAATCTATTACCACCAAACAATCTGAAAAAATTAACCGAACAAGAAATAGGATTTCAAAGCCAATGGAGCCAAAAAAGGTAAGGAATATTAACCCATCCAGGAAACCAGCCATGGAGTCAATAGAGCGGAATAGCAAGGCAAGCAATTACCCTTATACCGAGAAAAAATGTAATTGAATAAAAGGTAGGTACCAAGTAACTATACAGATAAATAGTACATAACATGGTATATACCGCAGAAAAGTTAGCAACAATCTTTGGCTGCACAGTCTCTGATCTTATGGCTATCAATAG